TATAGAAAAGAAGGAGCAAACCACACCAGAGCACCCGCCAACCACCCACACAGAATAGTTTCATGGCCCACCACATTATTTCAACAAAGTATAGAACATTTGTTTTAGCTTGGTAACAGAAAGAAGAAAATTATTAGAGACCTCTTACAATGCTCTGTCATGGCCCTTTTTGTTGTATTAATACATGTATGAGAGTTTTTAATTGAGGGTTTTGCGGCACTCGCAACTGCATAAGGTCATATGAGCGCCAGAAGATTTAGAGGTGTTACAAGAGAGTAACAAACATAAAAAAAGAAGAAGGGGAGATAAGGACGATAGATGTTTGATAGGAAAGAAGAAGCAAACCACACCAGAGCACCCGCCAACCATTCACACATGTATGAGAATCCCATTCACATATAACCACACACACAAAGAGAGGGAAGGGAGAGAGAGAGAGAGAGAGAGAGAGAGAGAGAGAGAGAGAGAGAGAGAGAGACAGACAGACAGACAGACAGACAGACAGACAGACAGACAGACAGACTGACAGACAGACAGATGGAAGGAGGGAAGGAGAGGAGACAAATTTCATTTAATAAATTCTATTCTACAGCATATGGCTAATCAATAGTTACAAATTTCTGAGACTTTTGGAGGAAGGATCTAATAGTGTTAGTGTTTACTTACGGCTTTAATGGTCTTGTAGTTCACACTTGAATCTGAACTGATGGGAGGACCAATGTCAAGGTCAATGGCTGATTCCGTCTCACCGCCTGTATTCTGTGAACACAAGGACAGAGACAATCACTAATACAGTCAGAAACTTTTAGCTCTATATATGTGAGCACAGTACATCCAGCATGCAAAGGTATTATCTTTATAAAATAAGTTTGGATAAGAGGGGAATATACCTATGACAGACCTGACACTCTATGAAATCTCAAAATGACAAATTACCAAGGTGACTGCCAAGCTGACTAAAAATTTTCCTGGGGGGTCCATAAATATATATCATGTATATGCCCTGCTGGTGCGCATGTGGGTGTTTGTGTGTGTTGGGGTGCATGGGTGTGTGTGTGTGTGTGTGTGTGTGTGTGTGTGTGTGTGTGTGTGTGTGTGTGTGTGTGTGTGTGTGTGTGCGTGCGCGCACGTGTGTGTGTGTGTGTGTGTGTGTGTGTGTGTGTGTGTTAGTGTGTTATCATTATTTTTGTTTAATCCAGAAGTATCATGTCAATAAATATAGTCCAAGTGTCATACCTCCAAACCCCCCCACCTCAAATGTTGATCCCATAAACGGACAGTCCCCGACACATGCGCAACTCACACACTGAAGTCATGTCACGTGATGCGAACGCCCAACTGAAACAATTTTTCTGACGGGTCTTGATGACTTGCCCGACTAACCAGAGCTCAGGTAAAGCTTGTTTTAAAAGTAACAGCAGAACTATAAATGTGTCACTACACGGTGGAATCAGGCGTTCGTCAGTTTTTGGGCATGTGGAGTTATTGATATCATCTGAAAGCTTTTTCATTTGCCTTGCATTCAATGAAAAAAATACGCATCTATCTCGAATAGAAGTCAAGATATTTGCGATTGAAGGAGGTGAGGTCGCCTGGTTTCAGTGATGAGAGTAGCGAGAAAATGGCCGCCATAGTTTGGTAATTCTAATTGTCAAAGAGTCCTTGAAAACTGATAAATGACATATTTTCTGACTTAAATCAACGTTTTTCAGTAAAATTCCCATGGAAATATGTTTTTGTATGGACATAGAGGGGTTTGAGCCAAAAAACAAAATTTGATAAAAATTGCCTAACTGGCGGAAAAATGCCTGTTTCTCCGATTTCGTTATTTTGACAAGCGCCTGATTTCACCGCGATGCCTCACAAAAATTCCATTTGTATGTCGCAATTGAAACAGTTATCAGGCCATCATCGAAGAATTCTGAGTGGAAACAAAAATCAAACTAGATCTTGAGAATGTCCCAAGTCGGAACGTCAAATCGATGCTACTTTCAGTACAGTTGAAAAAACATGAGCGAGCAAAGTTCCAACACAACTTGAGGCCAGTAAACACCAGTAAACAACTAAATCTGGCATCCATATTTCAGAAAATAGTGCTCCGCAATCCTGCAGACAAAATGTTTGACGGGTCCTTTCCAAAACAAAAGAAGAAGGCAGTGTAAATCTTTTGAAAAATCTGGTGCAACAGACAGGACCACAAAAATCAGGATACTCATGATCGAAATCGGGAAAATCAGGATGTATGAGATTTGGGGCAAAAAAAACCGGGATATCCAGAAGAGTGGCAGATCTCCTACGAATTTATTAATTTTGTATTGGTCAGATAAAATAAAGTATACTGAATAAATCTGGTGACCTTAGAAAATGTTCATGCTATCTCAGAGACCGACAGGCTGTTAACTCATTCGCTACGTATTATTTTCGGCTTGTGGACGAATTTTTTTTCGGGAGGCCGAATGAGATGATGACTAGTGGGCAGTTAAAAGGTCTTTGGGGCCACAAATTCAAATAAATATCAAAGTATTATTACCAAAATTTTCAGTATGGTTCGTAGAATACATCTGTTATGTTTATTTATGTATTTTTCAACTTTGGTTCCTGTAAGAGACGATTATGCAACACAATTTTGATTGGATGCGGATAAAATTTGAAAATAAAAAATTAATAATCTTTGGTGAAACTCAAAAAATATGTTTGCACCTAATCAATCGATACATCAAAATAACCATAAATAAATATAGAACTGGAAAATATTGAAAAGTTTGCAGTTATTTACCTACATTCCATAATATTTGTACATTTTGTACATAACATCCGATATTGAAAAAAAATTTTTTTTTTATAATCTTGAAAAACGATCACAAACAGAAAAAACCCACTCGTATCTCATATGGAATTATTCAGAATTGCATTTGGAATAAACCTATACATGTCTTGAGTGGCACTTTTTGTGTAATTTCATCAAAAAGTAATGATTTTAGGGAGAAAAAAATATTTTGACAATTTAGATCTAGACCTAGATCTAGCACTCAAAAAATATTGATTTCTCAATAACAGTGCATTGGCAATATGAGTTCACATAAGAATATTATAAAAATGAGTCCTACATTTCTTAAGTAGGCAAAATAATGATAGATTTTGCTGTGTAAAATTACTAAGACTGGTGTCCAGGCTATAATTTTGGCTTCGCGATAAAACAAAGTCGAATAAACTATGAAATCGCGTTGCAAAACTGAATCTAAATTTCCGATTTTCAGTGGAAATGCTTGACCCGGAAGTCAACATTATATCATGACATGGATATGTGGATTGGAATAGAATCTAAGCTAAAATTGAAGATCGGTTCTCGAGCAGCCGGGGGCGGCTTAGCGTACTGACGGCACTTTAGCCGCCCCCCCCCCCACGGCTCGGCGTAGCGAATGAGTTAAAGAAAACAAAAGGCAACACAAGACTTAAACACTTCAGCAGGATATGAAACCCTACATGTATTGTACAAAACAAGGCCAACGGAAAACTACAAAACATGGCCACCTCACTTTGTCTACTTGTTTCTTTAAATATAAACTGGAAACATGTGACCATATACCGACGTGTACAGACGACAAAGCCACTCTGCTCTCACATCCACTTTCTGTCATATCCAACTGTTCCCATAAACAGCACTCACCATGTGCTCCTTCTTCTTTTTCTTCTCACTCTTCTCAGATGCTTCTTTGCCATCCTCGTCATCATCATTGGCCTTCTTCTTCTTTTTCTTGGGAGCGTCATCGCCGTGCTTGCTCTTGTAGACCCACAGCTCTGACTTCTCCACCAGCAGACGGAGCTTGTCCAGGTCAGACTTGATCTGACGGTAGTTTTCTACATCGCTGTTGGTCACCAATAGCTGGACCTGAGAGAGAGAGAAAAAAAAATCTTAATGTAGGTGTTATTAACAACCTCCTCATAACGTCACTACTTTGGTCTTTAAGGAGGTGGGCTTCGACCCTACCAGTCAGGGGCAACCTGGGCTAGGAGGGATACAACATTTCAGCAGAAAGGGCGAGAAACTTGACAAAAATTTTTCCTAAACAGGAATAGAACTGGAGTCTCCTGCATGAAGAGACTTACCACTAAACCACAGACATCATGAGTGAGAGTGAGAGTGAGTGAGTGAGTGAGTGAGAGAGAGAGAGAGAGAGAGAGAGAGAGAGAGAGAGAGAGAGAGAGAGAGATCTTTTTAAAAAAATGAGATCATGCCCTAGTAAATAAGTAGTCAACATGTATTAACACTCTCCAACTCCCCAATTAAGACCATTAAAGAGAAATTCTGCTTCTACCCACATTCTGTTCTGCTTTTACCCGCGCCTTAAAAGTGCCGATGCCATCTCCATCGTACACACACACACGTGCACACACACACACACACATCCAGAAAATAAAATATCCATCTCAACAGGAGTCACAAGCCTAGGACACAAGTACCTGTGTGAAGGCGTTGAGCACTTCTTGTCTTTGTGAGAAGTGTCGGAACAACAGCTGCAGGGCGCCCGACACCAGAGACGGGTAGTTGTGCATCACCATGTTGAGCAGCACCCTCAGGAACATCTTACCCCCTTGGCCGTCCAGGTCCAGCTCATCACTGAGCACACACAGACAAACAAACACACAAACAATCGGATAAACAATCAGATTTCAACAAACACCTTAGCAACCTTTTACTTTTCGTAAGAGTTTTGCTGTACTTGCAACATAATAAGGTCGTATAAGTGTCAAAGACTTGGATTTCAACAAACACCTGAGAACCCTTTTAGTTTTAGCATGAGTTTTAGCTTTAGTAGAGGTTTTATGGCGCTCGCAACTGCATAAGGTCATATGAGCGCCAGAAGATTAGAGGAGTTACAAGAAAGTAACAAACATAAAAAAGAAGAAGGAGAGATAAGGACGATAGCTGGTTGATAGGAAAGAAGGAGCAAACCACACCAGAGCACCCACCAACCACTCACCCTTTGCATTATGACCTTGTGAGTTCTACAGCTGGCATAGTTAGTCAGTGAAGAAGCAAACAAATTATATGTTCATATATATACACATTTTCTCACCCTACCATCATACTATCATCCAAGTATAGCTTTCTCTGAGTGATGCTGCAAGGTTAAATGCCACACATACGTTCGTTTACAAGACAGAACCTCTGGAGAAAAATGCATATCTCATAAGACTACACACACACATGCACACATACACACACGCGCGCGCGCGCACACGCACACACACACACACACACATCCACGCCCACACAATGAGGGATCCTTCGTCAATCTCGACAACAATTACCTTCAACACCTATATTGAGAATTAAATGCCCAGTACAACTGGGCGGCTTCGACTATCAAACAATTCAAAAATACCATCAAAGAATGTCCTCCACTCACCTTCCTCCAAACACATCCTCTGCCTGGGTGGCAATGCTATCCAGGTCGAGTCCTGAGAGAACAGAAAGTACCTCTCCTTGAGCATGAGACTAAAAAACACTTATTCAGCCAGACAGTGTGTACTTAGAACAGTAAGGTTTGTAATTGTCACAAGATTAATGACTAACTTCACTTATTTCTTTACAACGATGTACCCAAAAAGCAGTATAAAACAGGCAAAGATTTGTCTCACACAGAGACAAAATAAATTAAATTTGTAATAAACTCATGATAAATATGATATGCTTCCTATCAGGGAGTACAAAAAAGTCAAAGTGAGAGGATTATTTCCTTCAAACACATGTATCTACTACAAACACACACACCCACATACAAACTGAATGGCAATATAGATAGCAACGCCAGTGACAAATTTTCGTGTCTTTTTTCTAGGTCAACTCGTATTGCTGTGAAGCAAAAATTTCTAAACCAAACTATTCCTACCATCTTGCTCACACATACATTAAATATCTAGCCTTCCCTTTCCTCTTATATTGAAAGGAAAATAGAAAGTTGCTTTCACAAGAAAACCTACTAAAACAAAAGAACATAATAAGACTCGGATCTGAGATGAAAACAATACTACATGTATTTGCAGATCTGTCTTCGTAACCTCAAGATGGGTGTTAAAGTGATGACACTGCAGGTTTCTAAGGTAAACACAATGAGTAAGAGCTATATCAACAATGAAAATAATAGTGTGACTGCAACATAATAAAAATTGAACAACAATAAAAATCAACATTATTTAAAAAATTGACATAAAAAGGGCAATATAATATGCTTAATGAAGTAGGTGCAGATACATACACAGGCAAATTGTAGAAAACTATCTTAGTTAAGCAGTTAGAAAACAATCATTAGTTGACAAGAATTATTTATCAATGGTCAATTAAGCAGTTAGTAAACAAATAATGGTTACCAAGAACGACTTGTCAATAGTCTTCTACTAATCAATGGTCATTTAAGCAGTTAGTAAACAAATGCTGGTTATCAAGAAGCTTATTGTCACTGAATATTTAGAATACATTAGTAGTTGAGGCACCTCTGTCACGAGAAACACAGTAAGTCTCCATATGAGGAAGTTAACGATTGGTCATTGTAACTTTGCAGTAATTAAAAAAGGTGGACAAGGCAGAAAGGTTATTTCAAATCAAGAATATTTAATGTTGCAAAACACAATCTCAGCAATGTTTAACATGACCATTTGAGAACCAGCTGGCATCCTTGATAGGGCAAGCAAGAATGTTGTGAAACTGATGGGGAATGGGACCGCAAAGCAAGAAGTTTAACTTTACAAAATGTGGGATGTGCAAAGTTTACTCAATCCTTTAGCCCCCCCTCCCACCTCCCCAAGCCGTTAACACTTTCATTATACTACAGTTATGTCTTTCGACAAGCACATGACTAATACAGTAGCTCTGAGTGAATCTGTTTTCTCAAAAATGTCTCGGCCAAAGCCACACAAGTGGTCTACAGTGCCTGTCTTTAATAATGGAAATGAATTTCAACACACTCAACAAAGCAGTTGTCACGATGCATCATGCTGCTATCAAACATGATATTATGAATGTGATTTTAAATCATTTTTAAAACTTAGATGTACATTATTACACCATTTATTATCAAACAACAGGGAAAAAATTGGATTTCTTTTATGTTACAGTAAAAACCACAAAATGTGTCATGGCGCGGTGGAATCAGGCGCTTGTAAATTTCGGGGCATATGGAGTTATTGGTATCATCTTAAAGCCTGTCCATTTGCTTGCTTTTGATCAAAAAAATATCCATTTATCTAAGATACAAGTCAAGATATTGGCGATTGAAGGAGGTGGGGTCGCTTTCTTTCAGAGATAAGATTATCGAAATAATGGCCGCCAAGTTGGGTTATACCCTAAGCTTGAGAGTCCGTGCAAACTGAAAATTTACATCTTTTATGCCTTTAATCATGAAAGGTGTTGAGTCGAAAAACAAAAATTCAATAAAAATTCCCAAACCTGCTGAAAAATGCCAGTTTCTTGACTTTCATTATTTTGTCGTTATGTAAAGAGGAAAAATTAACTACCATCTACAGGACACATTCTTAGCTTCATAATTGTTGATTTTAAGTAGAGAAGAAAAACAAGAATCAAGGAAAGAATTCTTGAAATAAGAAAAATCACAAATGCTTCAAAAATAATATAATAAGAAAACAGATTTTCAGACACACTGAGAGAGGGAAAGCCGTTAAACAAAGAGGCATGTCATTGAATTTAAAAAGCATCTCTTTTCCTTACTTATCAATGTCAAAACAGGAACACTTTTAGCTAAACTCATTCCCTCCCCCCAAAAAAAACAAATAGAACAGACAAATACTGTGCTGTCAAAAAGTTTCAGATTGCGCCGATGTATTTAGCAAATGCGCCAAACAACCTCACACTTTGAAAAGGAAGTACAGACAGAATATGCAATGAGCAGTAAGTGTTTGGGTAAAATTTGAGTTTTTTTAACTCTCCCACAGTTATTGGTGCTTTGACAATTTGAAGGTTCTATATTTACAAAGTTATCAAATCTCAAATGATATAAGTTCAAAACTGTAAACATATATTTCATTTCCCGGTATTATCTGGGAAAGTGTACTAATAAACTTTATGTTGATGGAAAACATGGATTAAGATGGGTAAGACGTATCTCGAAAAGGAAAGTGTAGAAAAAAAATTCTGAGATCATTATAGTAACGGATGATCTCAAAATAAATTTTCACAATTTTTGCTATAAACATGGAAATATTTTGTGCGACAACTTATATTTTTTAAATACACTTACATTTTTGTTACTTCAGACCCATGATTTAAGTCTTGTGTAGTATAGCAAAGCACTTTATAAGACATCATGTGTCACACTTAAAGCATTATATCCAGCAGGTCAATGGTAACAGTTGACAGGGTACAGAAGAGGAAACAACATCAAAGTCCCATGAACTACGGAGGAACTCATCACTGCACATACAAAGAACAAAAAGCAGGGAACAGTGAGACAAATCAGGACAACCCACTGGGAAGTCTAAAAAAACAAAAAAACAACCCACAAAAATTGAAGTTCAAAAGGTAGAACTCTAATCTGGGCTTGAATTCGTCTGAAAACATAACAACCTTTGCCACCTTATTGTTTAGATAGAAACACATCCATTACCATTTTCGATGTAAGGAGACATGGGAATAACGGAAAGCGATACATTGTTCATGAGGAAAAAGAGCACAGAAAGATGAAGAGAGAGAGATACAAAAGTTGCATGGAACATAGATGAAAACTGGCAAAAATGTTCTGAGCAGAGAATCTGACTGGGGGGGGGGCCTTCTTCCATAGATTCTGCATTTAATGAGTAGGTAGCTATGCCAGGTATTGCAATATCTGTTGGCCATGTCATCCTTCCTGCGAGAGCAATGATTATGTAAAAAAAAATATTATGTAAAAGATAATTATACTCAAGGCTTGCAACCTTGGAAATGCTTCTCCAACTAACTCATCCTAATGAAAAATCCACCTGCTAAAAGTCATGAATTTTGTCTCCAGTTTTATTATTACCATTCTATTTTCTGTCCAGGTCTTAACTTCTACTTTCCATTCAACACAAACAAAATGACAATCATTAAATTCTTTTTGTTCCATGTTACATCCTTTGACATGTCATAGATTAAATAATGGTCCCTCATACCAGTAAGCTTTGTTTTTCTTTAAGACAGAAAATAACATCAAAATCTCACTTGGACCAAATTACAAAGCGAACCTAGTAGGCGTCCACTAAAAGTTTAGTTTTCATCCACGCTTAAGGAGAGAAGAGAGAAAGCATTGTGGCAGCTACAAAGGTGACAAATGGAGAGGAAGGAGTACATTTGAGTGAGGGAACATGTCTTTTGTGCTTGTGGCAACAACAAAACTATGAGCATACACACGACGGTTTACCACCAAGAAGCACCTACTGATGATAGCATTAGACTTGTAGGCAGGGCTGTTATCTAGCTGGGGTTGAATTTGAGCTTTAAACATGGCCAGGATCCACGCAAGGCGATAGTCGAGTCGAACATGCATCAAGTACTGAATGATGAGGGGGTGGGGGGATCATAAGACAAGTGTGTGTGAGTGTCGTTATCAGGCATGCAATAGTTTGTTGTTACAGGTGCTCCTCTCGTCAAAACACGCACAAAGTACCCCTTGTCAGTAGGCTGGTCCTTGTTCTCACTTCTTTCTTCTACTCTGTGAAACTTGGACATACCTCATAACTGCACAAACACAATCTCAGTAACTCTAAATGCTGATGCAGTGTGCTGAACATTGCTGCATTCCATTTCGGCACATTGTGTGCAACTGTGACTACTGGGTAGAAAGAAGGGAGTATTTCAGTCCAATTTTGCCTAAAACACTCCTTTCTCTTCCCCACAGTAAACTGACACCAGTAACTGAGTGTTGGTATGTTGGAGTTACAGGGGGCACATCATCCACATACAAATGATCATTTAGAGCTAGGATAAGCAAGATAGACAGACAAAAACAAAAGAAGAAGACCTATGGATGAGCTCTCCAAACACATCAAATTATGTACAAAATGTAAACCTTGTGCACTGAACAGCTCTTCATCTCTGCTACCTCCATCGTATTTCTCTACGTCCTCCTATACATTTGCCTCACAAAATTGAACAGATCCTGTCAAACAGCTGTTACAGTCCAGTAGACATCAGCTATTGTGAGCCTTCCTCTAACAGTTATGACAATCTAAAAGGCAGTTTTGACATTTACAAACTAGATGATCAGGCCAGTACAGCATGAAGCACACTGAAGAATGGTCCAAAACTGCAAATTGGCATGATAACCATCATATTATGCCAGAAGAAAGAAGTACCAAACCTGAGCACTCACCTACCCCCTGCGGGTATCCTGAAGGCTCTTTGCATTATGAACAAAGGAATAATAACCAACTACATCACCTTTTCAGACAGAGATTCAGCAACTTAAGTATCAAAACACACGCTTTCAAAGACAGATGTTCAACTTAAGCACTTATTATGTCTAAAAGTTAGGTGGGCAAATACATTGTGCATTGTCTTAACTAAATTGTGCATTGTCTTAATCAAAAGATTTTCTACAGCCCTAGCAATCAACCATGACCCATGACAAATTTTAAAAAATTACTTGGACTACTGGATATTTTTAAAAGAAGAACAACAATAATGAAAATAAGGCTTTTTGGGGGGCTTCCTGCACCAGATGAAGTACAAAAGTGAATAATGAGCCAAAGTTTGTCAAAAGCCATTTGAAAAAAGATAAACAATCCCAACCAGAAGACTAGAAAGCAATTCTAAACCTGAGTAGAGCAGTTGTGTACCTCTCATGAGCTGGACTCTTCCCCAATCTCAAAAGAATTATTTTTGCTGCAGAGTGTTGGTTTACAGCAAGTTACCAGAACTTAGTAAGAGTTTAGTAGGAGTTTTGTGGCGCTCGCAATTACATAACGTCATATGAGTGCACGAAACACAAGTTGGTTGCATTCACAACTGAACAAGATTTCAATAATACAAAAATTGAAAAGAAGAAGCAGGCCACAGAAAGGACGCCCTTCTGCCACCAGCTTTCATACGATAGAGAACTGTCGAGATCTATACAGCAAACCATTTGTCAAGGGGATCAGAGAGAGAGTGAGGTTACTATGTGATTATTTGGGTGGACCCACAGCCCTGAGTAAATAAAACATGCGTATGCACAAGGTACAAGATGTGGGTTAGAAAAAAAAACTATCACCACAGCCATACCAAGGTTATGATCAATTAAAAAACAGGGGAACAAGAGTCACTGAAAAAAAAATGAACTTGGTGTGCTGCATCTTGCCAAGAAAGCTTAGCTGAAGATTAAACGGCTCTACCAACACAGCTATGTGATCAGAACATTATCGTTTGACTCAAAATTGTATAAGGTTAGCACATTGCAGATTTTCAGGCCTATAGGTTTCAGGCATCAGTTCTGACCACACAGCTTATGGGACAAGAATGTGTGAAACTAAAACTAATGGCATTCCAAGCCAGGCTATTAGAATTACCCGTCTTTTCATTAGGATTGTAATTTTCATCATGTTCCTTCTTGAAAATGGAGAGCAAGGAGGTGATGCGGAAATCTAGCCTTGTGTCCATGATGAACTGTGAAACAAGAGCACAAACATTGACACAGCCGCACGCCTCACAAAGCGCACATTGCACACATTCCTATGCCTTCCGTCAAGCGTCCATGACTATGCTGTGTCACAAACGTGGCAGGTCGTCAAACATCTTAAAAACTTCCTGTACCCCTGACCTGTAAGCTGTTTAGATTTATAGGACCAAAAGATTGTAAAAATAAATAAACTTGAGTCTAAATCAGTATAGTATAAACCGACAAATGAAGCACTCGCAAGTGTAAAACAAACATGCAAATGTGTCTAGGCTTAAACTGTAGGCTACGTATTTCCACTGAACTAATTCCAAAACCAGTGTCACAACAAAAAACCCTTAGTTCACATTTACTTTAAAACATAGACAAAAAGCATTCCCTAAATAAAAAAACAGTTCACATTGAGGTGACATGCCTTTCTTCCTTTCAGTAACATCAATACTGAATGCTGGCAGAAATATGTATAAGTATCAATTTCCCAGCTGTGTGAACGAAGCCAAGAGCTGTCTCGACAAACACCCATCATAGGGCGAGGAAATACAGTACGTCTCTTAAACTGTTCTCCGCTGAACTTATCCTTTGACATTATGGGAGAATAGAAAGAATTGATCTTGATAAGACATTGGAGCCAAGAAAAGACATCTTGATTGGGCAGTAGCATCAATGACCTCGCGATCATGACACCATGGGCTCGAACCTTAGGACAAGTATGCTTTCCTACACTTTCTTCCATCTTGTCAGTTAAACAAACATATATTAATTTCCAGTCGAGAAAAAATTTGGTATAACAACAGTGTACAGGTGACATATCATCACAAATTGTCCTTGCATAGCGGACACACTTAAGATAAAAAGGATTGCATCAGTTGGCCACTTCAACTAAAAAGTCTACTCTTGCAAACCAAATAGAGAATCACATTTCCATCCACCACTATGCAACACATGCCATTGCTTACCTTGAGGATCTCGATGATTTTCAGCTTGGTGTCCATTATCTTTGTGTCCTCTTCTTCCTCTTTTTTCTTCTTGTTCTTCAGCTCCGTCGCCTTCTCTGACATAGCGAGGTCATCCCCTGTTATAGACAAGACTTCTAAAATTTGGGCTGAAGTACAGTGAGAAATCACAATATCAGCTACAATCTTCTAGGGGCAGACTGGGACAGCAGAAAATTGAAAGAGAGCTTGCAGACTAAAAAAGAATGTCAACCACTCAACCGCCTGCCGCAACAGATAGCATTTATCTGTTTGAGTAAAGAAGAGTATATATTGACATAATAATGGTCATTTAGTGCAGGGAATGAGTATGACAGACAGAGACAATAGACGGAGAGAAAAGAAGTAAGACCTACTAGTGAAGCCCTTCATTCATATGGAGTTGGCTTTGATGGAGAAACTAATTCAATTGAAAACTGTGATTTGACTCCTTTTATCGTAGTGCACTCAAGTATCAATTGCTACAATAAGGTTTCAAAGGAAACACGTACACACATACATATGCACATACACCCATACCCTAATTACGTGTGCATATTACATGTCTCAGTGTGTACGTAAGTGTTCGTGAGTGAGTATACACTAAAACACGCCCCAAACAATCACCTGAACAAACAACTGCCTTCCACTCTCCTGTACTCCACTTAGGTTTTTTTTTCGTTTTTTTTATTATGACACCGTTCAAAAGGACAACTTGTCTAATACAACCACTTTTCTCCTCGACAACGGGTGGTGATCTCGGGACATATTTGACTGTACTTGCCAGCATTTGTGAGTGCAGACAAAATGAGTTACTTCTCACAAACCAAGAATGGAGATGTCAGCCAAAAATAGGCACAACAAATTTATAGACTTTAAACTGATGCAATTTTCTTTTAGTTAAATATGTCTTTCATCATTTAATATAATAAATTGTACAAACCTAACTAATAAATCTGATGTACATATACGTGTCTATGTGGCTAAAATCAGCGAATCAACTAATTTATCGGATAAGGCAAAGTGAGCACTTTAATGAAGAAAGACTAACACATCACATTTGTTTAATTATGTTAGCATGAAGGCCTGTAAATGCAGAAGCAAGTGTTCACATGCTAACCTTCAGCGACGCCAACAGCGACAGCTGGCACTGCCATAGGGGAGGTGGCCATGGACTCTGGGATACAGTCCAGAATACTCAGAAGCGTCTTGGTGAGCCGAAGAAGGTCCGAGAAGGAGTAGAACCCAAAGTAAATGAGCTGTCGAGCCAGGTTCACAACCTGACACAGAAAAATAGCACAGGAAATTACAGATCATTATTCATATTTACGATAACAAGAAGCACAGGACAGTGCTATACAAAACTTACAAGTTGAATGGCATCAGTAGCCTCATGGTCAAGCTACCAGACATGTAATCTGTAGATTGCAGATTCGGGAGTTTGAGGCTCAGCTCGGTTCAAGGTTGTGTCCATGAGGAAGATACTTTACAATAACTTTTCCCAGGCATTTATTAACTGATTCTGTCCCCGCTGACAGCAGCCCTGGGTTTACCCGCTGTTGCCATTCGACTGCTGTGAGCAGTTCCACGAAATCCGAGACGATAATGCACTTTTGAACATATTTCCTTTTTTAATCTGATTTTGCCGATTTTGGGTTAGGCTATGTAAATTGAGATGTTGGCTGATTTTTTAAGATCAACCACTTCTTTGTCTAAAAATAGCAAGGAGACAATTGAGAAAGTCTTTATTCTCCTCGTAAATTGCCTCTGAAAACATGAGCGTGGGGTTAATATAGTGAATTTTCACAATAATTGTCGTTTTTCTAAAAATGTCATATTTTAGCAGTTTTTTCCTTACTCCTTTCCTTAGTTTTCATCCTTTTGAAATGAAACTTTCAGGAAGCATAGATGGCAAGGCTGCCATCAATGTAAAAGAGAGAGTTTTGCGAAAAAAATACCACTTCTCCATTGGCAAGTGATTACGCAACCTAAATTTAGAAAAGGTTTTTTATACATAAGAAAAATTCTCTTTTTTTTTTCTTTTGCATTTATTGATTAAAATCTCACTTTTACGCTGATAGGGTCTGGTTCAGATATACTCTCACCATATTATTTGGTCAAATTTGGTCAGTAAATAAGAAAGCCTTAGGAATTTGAAATTCAATGTTTATTTTCAAGATGGCGGTTATTTCCATAGCAACCACTGTAGCTATGCCAAAATAAAATTGCGTATCAAGAGATTTTCCTATGCCTAACTTATATGTGTACTTAGTTCAGTATGGGGTTTTACGGCGCTCGCAACTGCATAAGGTCAAATGAGCGCGCAAAACAAGTTTTTTTCATAACGGTTCATTTCTCGGCTTGACACTGGTCAATATTTCTATTAAAAATTTTTTAAACGCTAAAAATTGAGCGTAAATAGGCTTAAGATTTAAATTTTAATTTAAAACAACTTTCTAAATAACACTTCAAAATTTCGAACAATCTATCTCATAACTTTCCATAAAGGCAAATGATCTTTATAAAATCTAAAATTCTGTTGGGAACAATGCCGGAAAAAATATCTTGTAATTTTGGGCATTTAAAGTGTTTCCTTCGGGTCTCTCCGAAGTCTAGACTTTCGGTTTAAATGTGTCTAAAGGTAAAATCTGTGTCGCATCCCACACAGAACGGCTTCTCATCTCCCTGAAGGAGGTATTTGTGTGTTAGGGCCGTGTGTCCGATGCATAATCGAGTAAAAATGACTTAGTCTCTTCTGGAGAGGCCCGAAGGATTTCGCGGTCCCAGTTTGAGTTTAATATTATGGAGTTTGTTACCCGTCTGTTATTTCCAGCGGCTCTCCCACAGATTGGATATGTGTACTTAGATTTGATCTCAGGTAACAAACATAGAAAATGGTCCTCAAGGGTCGCTCCTCCCGTTAATTTGTCAAAAGGAAGTAGAACCTAAACAAGCCTGACCTCAATCCCTGAGCTCCAAAATCGATCGAAACTCCGCGAAATTCTTGCAAAAATCAATGTTTTGTGGTCGCTATGCAGTTGCTACATAAGGGTAAACAGCATGGAGCCTGGTATAACAAAAAGGCCCTTCAGTGAAAAATATTGAACTAAATTTGTGAAATTCTTGCATGAATGTGTTCTAGGGTGATATCTCTACAATTTTGTGTTGATTTCTATATATATGGACTTGTAGAGGTTCAAAAATGAGGTAAGTTAAAATTTTCGAAGATGTGAAGCGCAATTTTGTATTCTCATTCGTTTTTGTTTTTTTCTGAGGGAAAATACAATACAATCTGAATATAGATAATTGTAAATGATATAATCAGATTTCTCTATTGACTCCCATCAGTTTGGTATGTGCCATACATATGTAGAGCAACTTAGAGCCTCGCAGTAAATCATTAAATAAAAGCACCCGAGGTTAATTTTGAACAGGGAAAAATAACTCTGTCCAGAGCATTAAAAAATCATGGATGAAATCAGTTAAGCAAGAACGAAAATTTCTCAGCTGTTTGGTTACAGTTCTATAGGCCAACAAGGTCCTAACAGTACAATGACAACCATTAAAAGAGCTGTCACTAGTGACGTAGTGTCTATCCAGTAACCATTCATAATGCTTCCCCCCCTTTCCTCCCTCAATGTTCAGAGCAATATTGTATTATGAAACTCATTATTTCACCGTGTATGAACAGAAGGAAACAACAGATTTTAAAAGTGAAAGTCAGAGAAGACTAGGTTTTTCATGTAAAATCCACCAATGAAATGACTACTGCGCTAGCTATACGCAGCTTGCCGAGCTCTCCTGCTGAATAAAATACGTAGGATGGAAACTTTAAAAAGAGTCTTCTGTAACGTCCTCCCACATCCCTCTCACCTCAAAGGTCAGATTGTTCTGCTCCCCGTCCGCCCAGGCCTTAGTGACAATGTTGCACAGGTAGTCCTCCACAAAGGCAATGGTGGGCTCAAATTTCTTCTTCACCTCCTCTTTCTCTGGAGCTTTGCTGATGTTGGACTCATAGCTGGGAACAGGACAGGAACCAAAACTGACCTCTAGTACATAATGACACGACAAACATACACATACACATACACACACACACACACACACACACACACACACACACACACACACACACATAACATCTGATGCACTCACTCACCACACACTACATCTACAGGAACACATTGTAAAATAATGCTGTAAAAGGGGCACAAACGGGAGGATATCATGAAAACAAATGAAAAAGGAAATCATGGACATCAACATCTTGATTAATATCTATTACTTTACTCACCTTCTTATATTTCAAGTCTATAGTTGTTAATCTGATTAAATATGCGAACTACACTATTGGTGTCCTCCTTTCACCAGTGTGGTGCTTCTACAAAGAGCTGCACAGACCAACATACTGACATACATTAGGGCTAAAGAAACCAATTGGATGTCAGCTACAACTTTGTGGTTTACTGAGACGTCCACAAAAGCACACATAAATAAATATACGGTTCATGAAAATGGTAGCGACATTTACTCTCTTGGTAGTGAGAAAAGTAACAAAAGAGATTTAGCTCATATGTTTTTTTATTTCTTTTCCTTTTATAACTCAGTTTATTTATATCTTGCAGTAACTAACTGAACAAAGGAAGTTTCTCAGAATAAGAGAGGGCAAAACAAAATTTTAGACACACACACACATGCAAAGTGCAGAAGACTGATGGGTTCCGACAGACGGTAAATCTGGGTATATCTCTCTCTCCCTCCCTCTCAATAACATGCACAGCCACACACACACACATATGAAATCACACACAGACACACATACATACACAAGCAACATTATCTGTTCCCAAATCAAACGTGCACCCAACAAATCACTGTCCCATCAGTCATGCAGACGTGCCAAATGCTCTAACATGCACAGTATATCTCATCTATTTTTCCATATACAGATCTAGAATATCCACCTACTAGTACATGTAAAAAATACAACACACTCGTCTTAACAGGCCACTGACAAGCAGCTCTCCACTAGCGTTGTGACGTATAAGGAACTATTCAGATTCATATAACAAATAAACATATGATTTGGCTGAAAACTGCTTAGATATCTATTTGGTAAGAATAAAGCCTCTCCTCTCTTGTTCCCTTCACAATGAAAAAACAAAATAACCACTTACATCATATGTGAATGTCAGACAACTAACACTGTGCTGTCCTCCAAGCATTAGGATAAGGTTCAAAACCCAAGTAACACTTGCTTATGGTATACAAACAATCCTTGGCTGCCAATTTCACAATAATAATCTTTTAACACTATAACAAAGCATTACAGGCCATGCTGAGGATGAAATTCAAGACACATTTCACTCAGGGCTTTTCTGATACATTTTGAGGAGAAATTTGACCGTGCTGGGTGGAAAAAAACAACAGTCTTTCTTCACTTAGCCTTATCCTATAAATTTCACAAAACCCACCTCCCCAAATCTCAAAAGTTTCTATGTGCGACTCCTTCAGGTTTGCACCACAGGTAATCTTTATTTACATTTACTCAAAGCAAAGCAAGCTCACCAGAACATCAAAGAAATCATACATTTCATTGCACAGTATGTAAGTAGGTTTACAATAGTCACTTCCATCATTACCACCTCTGTGTTCACATCTACTCTTCGATGTTTAGGACATGGTATAATGTCAAAAGTAAAGTGATTTTTAACACTCCAATAGAGAACTAAAAATGGAAAGCTCAGAAAATGCAGACCCAAATGAAGTGAGGGTGATGGCTATGAGTATGAAGTGCTGAGAGAGTATGACAATATATTATTGTTACAAGAGACACAATCAGAGGCCTAGATATATAGGAGGGAAAAGTGCAGAGAGATGAACAGGCTATAGAGCAACAGGGTTCGTCAGTCACATAGGTACACAGTGTGCGTTAGGATGGTTCACAATTGAACCCTACCCAGACAATGTTGCAGCTCACAAGCTTTGTGTTACAGTACTGGAATCAGAAACAGGGGATATACGTCTTTGTGTCCTTATTTAGCCTGTGATTAACTAAGCAGTACAAAACATTAAAATATTTGTCAGGGTATGGACTTATGTTATAGTAACCATATCTTTCCCGTAACGTAAGAATTTGAAAAAAGAAAAGCAGAAAAAAACCATAATAAATTGTTTAAATGCCAATAATACGGAATAGCAATGGTTACCCTGCTATATCTAAACTGGCTTTGTGATAAAGCAGACAACTGAAAACGTTTTTAACTATTATAACTCTGTTCATGACGTTAGATAGAGTTGGAGAAAAGACACATAAACCATATGAGTGCATGGGTGTGTTTATGTATAGTGTGTGCATAGGCTTACATATGTGCAATTGCAGGAATGGACATGAGTGTGTGTACGCCTGTGAGAGTACCTTAAATGTGTATGTGTGCGTGTGCGTGCGTGTGTGTGTGTGCACGTGTGCGAGTGTCTGTGTGTCTGAGTGTCTGTGTGTGTGTGTGTGTGCATCTGTGTGTGTGCGTGCCTCTGTGTGTGTATATATATGTAAGTGTACACATGTACTAGTGACAGCACATTACAACAGGGAGTTCTCTACATAAAACTCATGGGGAAAACTACACTATGTCATGTTGCACGGCTATGAGAAATATGCCTACAACTATTACACTAACTGGCAGATGCACAAAGAACATTCATTTCTCTACTACGATATTCCAGGCTTGCCAACTTTTTACAAATCTAATCAGGGACACCCAGCCTTACAACATCAGATTCCACAAAAACGAATATAATTTCATCCAGTGGGACTGGCTCTGGTGTAGTGTATGTAGAAAGGCTCTCCCTCAAGTTCCTCATTGACAAATCCAGGACAGTGCCAGGAAATTTAGGACAGTTCACTTCCTCAGAATCACAAAGTTCTATCGGTCATTCCTTGCCATTTTGAGTAACCAAGACCATGAGGTCAAAAATCAAATGTTTATATCTGCTCTATCAAAATCGTAAGACTATACAGTCGTTATCAAGATATTCAAAGAATTGCATTCGAAAAAGGTTGACATGTTGTGAAACTCAACATTTTTTACTTCACTCTTTGTAATTCTAGAGTGACAGAAAACAGGGCAGCATCAGTAAGTCGGGACAGTAGGCAAACCTGCTATCAAATGTTCATAGTATATTCTTTCACCATAACATTCCAGATTACAATAAACATAGCTCCGAGGCATGCACTGCCTGCCACTCACAGAAGCAAATATTGCGGGATCGTTTTGTCTATCTCCACATGCCTCAAAGTAATAGTCAAGTATGTAACAGGGCTTCTTTACGTTTGTCATATTTACAACATAATTAAGTCAGGCTTACAAAAGCCGTATAGAATAATTCAATAAATGTGTTCGCGACAAACAGTTTCCATGACAAACCACAGAAAATGGTCATACAAGCTACAAGCCACTGTGCTTTATCCATAATGTTTCACAGCAAGGCAATAACAACAGAGAAGTAGAGCTCATCTTCTTCAAACTTGCATTCCCCTGAAATTCCACAAAACCCATAAGTTTTTATCCAGGCTGGACATCATGGTCGCTTTCTATTTTGGTAAAACTCTCAGTCAGCATAGAGTAGATCTTCCCCCCCCCCCCCCCCCTGCAAAGAATCAGGGTGAAAGGCAGATTTTATGTCCCACATTTATGGTTTGTCTTTGCACATTTACGATTGGGCAACAACAGGAAAAGAGCATACACAAGCCAGAACGTTTGACTTTTGACACAATATACATAGAGATCACACAAGGACTTCAGATCCCGCATAAAAATCGCAACAGCTAGATACAAAGCATGACACAAAGTGCCAACAAATGTAAAAGAAAAGGATTCCCCTATAGAGCTGTACACGGGGCCAAAAGCTATGCAGACTTGACTAGGAGAACAAACATCCCGAAACCAGTGAGCTTATTACAATATTATTGGCGTAACAACAGGCATTTCGTTGTAAAATTATGGGGCTTTCTTTTTCTGATGTGTCCACACACTGTTAAAAATATAAGTTGGAAGTCTGTGTAGAGGACACATGTAAAGCACACTTATGTAAAAGACAAAAGAACTAACAAATGGTGTATCAAGAGTTACATCAACAAATCATTTGTTTTTGTGCTGTACACTCAAACTTCTTTTGAAAGGGGAGAAATTGAAGATGGTAAAAAATGTTCAAACTTTTGTCTTCATATGCACAGAGAAACATAAACAATAAAAACAATACTTCTTTGGCAACTGCATTCTTTACGAATCAGTACAAAATGATCCAAAGGTTATTTGTTGTTTAGTCAACATTTCATTAATAATTTTTGCTTGTGTGCTTTTCCAGAGACAAAAGAAGTAGGAAACTGAAGTTAAAAAAGTGTTGCAATTTACTGTAATATGTTTGATTTATTTAGAGAAGTAAAGATGAAACTCCAACAGCTTAACACATTCACATAAGAGCTCCAGAAAAGTAAATGAATGCAGAAAGAAATCAGAGTCACTGAGAAGACTACTACTATTCCATACATAATGTTGTAATCAACATCATCATCATCATCATTCAATCAAATGCAGAAGTAGAAAAAACCCCCCAAAAACTGTCAGTCCCCAAGCCTGGCAGGCTTCTCATTCATAAGAGCAGTTGCAAAAAACCCAAACAAAACAACCTGAGTTACCATGAAGAGATAACAGTGAACAGTCTGAAATTCAGAAATGAAACACAACTGCGCAGTGTTAAAGCTCACACAGGGAACACATGAACCGGGCTATCTGGTGCAATCCTTTAAAGGAGTAATTATGTTGATAATAATGTGTAGAATATAACATAACTGAAAAAAAACCTATTTCGCCTACATGATCAAAAAACTTAAAATGTCACGATGTCTGCTGTTGAGTTCAATAAAACAAAAAATTAACAAATTTGATTGAATATAAAATTTTGAGTAGTAACTTTTTCAGACCAAGATGTTTACAGAAGTATTTTAAATTTCAATTGCTCTGTTCAACATTGAAAAACTAACATTTAAAATGGATTCTCATCAAGAGTTATGTGTATACCCTTACTTTAACTGACTGTTCTTCTCAATATGATGCTATTACTTCAATTCATGCAGACATCCGCACAAAATGTTCTGGTCATTCTGTACCACCATTTCAAAAAGGATAACCACAATCCAAAACAAACCACTGCTGAGTGAATAGGCAAGCAATTTAGGATATAGTAACAAGATATAATCATTGTGCCCAGTATGTGTGAGCTACACCTGACCATGACTGGCTTTACTATATGTGCTACAACAGATTATATCATGTACCAGCTCTCTAGCCTTGCCTCTAGGCTAGGACGAATGTGTCTCTGCTTGTCTTCAGAGCAATCAGTAGTTTGCTGACTGGCAGAAGACAATAGCAGCTCCTATATAGATACATAAATGCCTAAACAAAACAAATGACTAGCTGCCGGCAGGAGATATAGAGGCTCCGACTCACCTAGAAGCAAACGAAAGGACTGTACTGAGTATGTGTCAATGAGGAGGAACGAGAGGAAGAAACAGAAAGGAAGCTGTGAGTGAATACACGAGGAGTGAGTTGAATGAGTAAGCATGCAGGAAAGCGCTGCACGCCAGAGAGGGGGAGAGGGGGCTGTGAGGAGTGGAGAAAAAGGCACCTACGTTTCGCTGTGCTTACAAGACTCATATCTGCAAGATTAAGGGGATGCTGTGTTAATAATACAGGGATACAGACACAATATGGGAAACAGCACAAAAACATAGACAGACAGCATTCAGGCCATTCATAGGTAGTGTGTCTTATATCGTTTGGATATGTGGCATTCTGTGAGAGCTACCAAGTGTTCGGGTCATACAGCAAAGGAAGACAACATCAACAAGGATGCAATCTCACAACATATATCGGCTAAACTACAAGTCATGGATAAATTTGTTGCTGCATGTACACTCCACAATCAGACACACTGGGCATACAACACATACAGTAATATCAGATCAATACAAATGAAACTATATTGCATTGTTTTAGTGCCAAACATTGCATGAGCTATCACAGCTCCTGGCAGTCCCTGTTATGGTTTTGCTACTTATTATGAAAAAAAATTACTGCCTAGCTAAAGAACATGAAAACGAAACAAAATTATACCCTGTCATATCTTGAAGTGGTAAGAAGAAAAACTTTGGAAAAGAGAGGTAAAAAAAGAAGCAAAGACAACTAAAAAAGAAGGAGGAAGAAGACAGAGAGATAAAGTCAGGGGTAGAAAGAACTAAAATAACATCCTGCAGTTCACGTTCTCATTGGTACATCGATAAATGCCTCTATCATCAATTCAATGTACGATGATTCAGGGAGAGAGACATGCAAATCAGGTATGTGAATGGAACACAGTCCAATCAAAATACAATGACCAACACCTTCCCAACAAGAAGTTGTACCAAGATGTGGCCAGAATTGAGACTTCTCCCTTGTTATTGAGGGGGCAAAGAAAAAACAATCAGTTGTCACAGGTAAGGTCTTGATACAATCTGTTGAGTTGTTACTACAGCTCAGATCTCATCCACACAACACAGTAAACCTCGTACACACAGAGCTGTCCAAACAATAGTGGAACTTGGCACTCGTTCATATCCAACAGCACAGACAACGGATCTGTTTGCCTATAAAGGAACAACACTCAGAGTATGTGTGTATGCAGACGCTAGATCTATCTGTCTTGAAAGACGTGGAACTTGTGGATGTGTCTAAACAGATCACAGACTTATTGAACAGTCTGTGTACAGAGACATACGTTGCATATATGTAGAGACAAAAGAACTACCCCCAGGGGCTTATAGTCTGTGAATGTGTGTATGCAGACAACAGACGCGTCTTTCTAGAGTGAGCCATGCTGTACACAGGTTAGTATATATATATATACAGAATTGTCAGTCTGAAGCATACACAGATAATAGCACTGTTTGTCTAAGATGACATCGAGTCTGTGTATGTGTGAACTCAGATAATAGGAATGATATAATTGTCCTCAACACTGACAGACTCTGTGCAAGTGCCTTGAATAGCACTTTCTTTGTATGTGTTTGACACAGCACACATAAAGGATCTTTCTTTCAAGAAAAAGCACACTCTCTATATGTGTGTTGACACAGTACAAATAAAATAAAACTGTCCAGAAAAAAGTACACTTTGTGTACATGGGATGGCAACAAACACGGCAGATCATTCCAAGAACTGTCTGCCGTGGGTGAAGTACACTGTGTCCTGTGTGTAATGCACAAACACCATACAACAATCCAAACACACAAAATTCATCTCCTCCAAAGTGAAGTACATCTGCTATAGATCCACTTGTGCATGCATTAACAAGAACACTACAATATGATAGGAGTGCCGGAAATGAGGTGAGATCTACGAGTGATCTCCCTGTGACAGTGTCACATGCCTACAAAGATCATGCCCTACAGGTGCTATTAGATGGGCGTTATACTGAATTTTAAAAAGCCTTTTCTGTTGTGAACAAGACAGTGCCTCCAAACGAATGATAAACTCTTACACAACATCTACAATAGCAAAATTTAATTGCTTAATTCACAATTTGTGGATGCAGCATAGGGACTGACAAACAGTTCATTCTATCGCTCACTGTTGAACATGTCAGTCAACACAGGAATTCTTATTGATCTATGAATGCGACACATCTTGAATGCCGAATGTTCAAATGTTTTTGCCAATTTTGTGAACCCGCAGTGTCAAGCTTCACTGCTAAAAAAACTAGAAAGCCAAAAGTTAAATACTCTAATAGCACCTTATCATTTTCCAGAGTCCCAAAGACAGTAAAGCATAAAACCTTCACCATAAAAAACTGTTATAAAATATCTGTAAAACACATCAAATCACAAGACCAAACCTATAAACCTATAAGTCATAGAAGAGCATCATGCTCTACTTTTCAAGACACACAAACAAAAAAAGCAAAAGCTTTGTACGATGAACTTCTCTCTAAGCACGCAGATCCTTATAACAGAATCAAGTGAGAGAGAAAACAGGACGAACTGATAGCGAGAATTCACAAAGGCAACAGTAGGAGGAGCACAGAAGCTCTTGGTGGAACATGACCAGGTAATCAGCATATCTACAGAAGCCTACTCCTTTACTTTGGGGAGGGAAAAGTCTTAAGCCACAAAAGCTCGGTGTACGAAGAACTAATTTGGCTTGATTACAAAAGGGGGGGTGAAAAAAAATGATGAATGAACACAGCAGTTCAATGTGAACATCATGTGGTACAAGAAATTTAACTGAGCAAGTCAACTGATGTGGAGCTACAGCTACAGTGAAAGACAGTCAGTGTGAAGAGACAACGGCCTTGATACCTGGATGAAGATAGGGGGCTTAATTGAAGGAATCACAGGGCTGATTAGAAAGCTTGGTTTGTTTAATTGTGGATTGTTGTTAAGTTACAACATAAGAAACGAAAATACCCGGACCTCAAATTTAGGAATGCAGAGGGAGAAACAAAGAATTACAACTGAATTGAACTCAAAACAAGACAAAACTGGTACAATTAAGAACTGTGATCATGTCAAGTTACAACTGCAGCGATGAGAAGAAGAGGTCATTAAATTTACAACTTAAAGGCCAAGTAAGTAGACCTGTAACTGAAACAATAGCAAGACTGAGCTGGAGAAAGTAAATCCTCTGGACTATGTTACATCTGAATTGAAGAGAGGATTGGGGAAATGCTAGGAGGGGCCTGTATTTATGTACATTACAACTAAAGTCAAGATAGGTGGCAGACCTAACCAAAATAAAATGTTAAAACAGTCCTGGCACAATATAGAAACTCAAAAAGTACACCTTCAAGACGATAATCTATGACAAATTTTCACAGTTAATGCTTTGGCAGAGTATTACCAGACTCTCCCCCAATAGTAGCATTTGACAATTTCTGAAAAGAACAGCTCTTTCGCAAGAAAAAATTCATTTTTAAAGACAACAGTAAAGACGTGTTGTTATACAAATACAGACACAAAAAGAAAAGAAAAAAATTTAATGCACACTTTATGGCAACAAAAACTTACTCTTCTATAGAAATTTTCTGAGGGATCTCAGACCAGAGGCGGGCGAATTTGACGGGTTTCACTTGTTCTTGTGGGTCCCGGTCCACATGCATGGACAGCATGAGACGACAAAATGCCGCTCTGAGATCAGCAGGAAGAGACTCATCAGCCATACATCTGAAGGAAGACAGAATAGTCAGAGGGTCAGGTTGACTATACATAAAACAGCTTCGGGGCTGTTGCGAGTCCACTGAGGTGAGCAGGACCACATCTCTCACCCTGCTCTAGAAGAAAGCAGGACAGCCCTGTGAGATCCCAGCTGTCTGACTGCCCCAATTCGAGTAAGAAATCTTCAGTGAGTCCTCTTTGTGGATACAGACATGATACTGAATTTTTACTCATAGCATTTGGCTTGCAGGACTGTGGGCTGATCCAAAATGTCTGTATACTATTAAAAGGGTGGCAATATACACGGTTACACAGTTCATGGAAAAAATTTTATAAACACATTTAATTCACATTCTGTTTATAATGAAACACTCGGTAAGAGCGCATGTAAACCTAGAGAGCAAACCTGGATTGAGAGGTATAAATATCTTTTTTAAGACAGTGGTAAAAAAAAGTGTTTCCAGCTGCATTTATTTGAAGAATTAATAATTATCAGGGGGAAAAAATTCTCGGCGAAAAAACCCAACTTAAAAAGTATTCTATTGGTGTAAGAGGTTAACAATATTATATTTCACATATAGTAATCTACTATATGATATAAATTTTGAAACCCACATCTTTTTGAAAACCCAGAAAAACAGAGGATTGGCACTGAGTTGAAGATAAATTATCTTTGGGCAAAATGATCCTTAGCTGTGTCTTACTTGAGGATGAGGTCGACGTCAAGTGACTCGCTCAGTTTGTTGATGGCCAGGTACTGTCTGTCCAGGCACATGTGAGAGAACAGATCCAGCTGGTGCCTGGAGAACCAAGGGGAGAAAACAGTGACAGTTCTACATCACCTAAAGCAAAAGTTACATTAAAATTACAAGAACTCAAAATTAAGACACGACAATACAGTTTACAATCTGTAGCAGTTCAGCACTACCCTGTCACTTTTGATTATCTTATATCACAGTACAAAGCACAAATATTTTATCTAACATTTAGAGCTGGATGGAATACTAGTTTCTATGAAACTTTGAGAGTGGGCAAAGGACTGAAGGAAAAAACTGTGAACGAAATCATCTTTAGTTTGAGTTTGAGTAAAAAGAGAAGCACATCAATACAATAACTGTCATTCAATGCTGGGAAAAAAACCCAGAACCAACAGAGGAAAAGAAAAGAAGTTGAACCCAACCAATGAAGCCCTCCACCCACCCAATCACACAAATCATCAACCATGGACTAAAAAAAATTTCAAAAAGATGTAAATTAGCTGAGAAACTGTCCCACTGGAAATAATTAAAATCAGAATCAACACATCATCTACTTATGAAAGAAGATGAAACCATGGACCCTTGCCTTGCAAACCAGGAGGACAGTGCAAGCTCTGATGACTAGGACAATTAGTATGTTACCTATAATAGTCCAGAATCTCCTTATCGGCTTTGATGTTGTCAGCAGCTCCCATAGCCAACTCACGGATACCTTTCTGACATTTGTACTCAGTGCCAGTACTGCCTAGCAGCTGGCGCACACTGGGGCCTGTGTTGTTGCTGTTGCTATTACTGGATGGGTCATAGGTCGTGGGCTCCCAGAATAAGACCACCTCATCATCTTCATCCATGGTCATGATGGTGACCTCCTCCCCTTCAGCGGGAGGCATCTCGTACTCCATCTGTGTGCGGATCAGGCGAGTCTCTATGAGAATATCCTGGTTGTCAGGCGCCAGAAGCGTTTTGCAGATAAGCTCTTGCGTGATGGGGATGGCCATCTTGCTGCACACACACAGGTCAGCCAGGTAGTCCAGAAACCTGACAAAAACAAATATATAAAACAATTATATATATTGTTTGAATTGATGTTGTTGATATTGTTGCCAATCTAGTAGCCTTTTGAGTGTGTATCCTTTAACCCAATGTCATGTTAAAAAATGTGGATGTTTTCGACATTTGTTCTTTGCAGTATAAGGTATTGTTTGTGGTAGAGATGGAAGGATGAAGTTGCCATCAGAGATCCTGTAATTTGGGGTATTCGAAAGGCAGATGTTGGTCTGCTATATTGATGGAATAAAGTCTTTGGCTGCAAGCTGCGGCTGATTGCCTTCTCCTGTCTAGAAAATGCATAGCATATTTCAAAGACTAAAAGACGCTGCTTTTTATCCTACTCAATTTATGCAACTTGACATCAGGTGAGCCATATTCATGTGCAAAATAAAAGCATTTACCAAGACACAGACCAGACCTTAAAAATTGGTATGTAACATTCTGGACATATCCATTAAAACTGTTAAAAATTAACAAACTAACAAGCAATATGCTCAGGAAACAAATGCCTTAAAACATGTGCTTCTAATTCACCTATCTCTCATCATTACGTAATCTAGTGTCCCTTTCATGCAAGTTTGTCTGGTCTTAATTTTGAATAAATCGGGTATTGCTTATGAGCCACAGCACCAGGTCTTTTCCAGAATACGGAAAACAAGTCTATCTATGTCCATGTCTTTCTCAAAATCTACAGATCCACCAATCAGTCTTACAGGGCAAGTGTATCTCACTGGAAAAAGTAAATTCTTAAAAAACCGACGCCCTCACAAATCATGATGATCACAGCCAACTGAAAACTTTTCTTGTAAAACATAAAAACATAGCTACAACCCCACTGTGACCTCCTCACACTGACCCCAGATCTGTGGACTTGGTCAAACAAGCTCAAAATGGGGGGGGGGGAGGGGGGCGGCGCGGTGCACCAGGGCAGCTTTGCTGTTGCTGTCTCACCTGGGCTCTTTCTTGCGGCGAACAAGGGAGACAAACATCTCAATCTCTGGCTTTTTTATGTGCTTCTCCAGCAGCTTGCGGTTGTTGTGCAGCAGCCCTGTGATAGTATCCTCCGCCAGCACGTCATAGCCGATCTGTCGCTGCATGAACTGAAGTTTGGCCGCCACATATTCCTGCAAACACAACCATTTGACAATTGCTGTGAACAACACTCTTTTTTGCGAGCATTTAATATTCGAAAATTTTGCGAGTGGAGATTATTCTAACAAACTCGCATATTGCAAAAAAAATGATTACTTAGTAAACCAAAACAGGTCCTATCAACGATTGTGCAGGATTGGTAGAAAAAAAATAACTGAAAAAGATTCAGTTTAGTTTCAATAAAACTCTACAGTTCTTCAGTAGTCATCCCCAATAAAATGCCACTGGCTAATTACATCACAAAGTACTCCTCGTAAACACAGCACGAAGAGAATATTCCATCTTATCATCACATGTCGTAGGCATGGAGTAGCTCATCAAATATACTAAAACTACACATGACAAGAGCAGCATATCACATGTCATTTACCTGATTCTTCCTGTAGTTTTGGAAGGACAGCTTGAGCAGGCGGTAGCACAGACGACAGAGGTGACGAAACGCGGCATGTCTTTGGTCAGCCAGCTCCTCCATAGACTGCATCAGGGCTCCATCGCCAACGTCGTAGAAGGGTGCTTGAAGAATTTTGAAAATCTGTGAATGCAAACAGGGAGTTATGTTATTGTAGTTGAGACATAGTTTCAACAAAGTTGCTTCAATAACAAGCACTATATACCAGGGACAAAGGAGAACAACAGTAAATTGAAAAGGAGTAGAAAAAAAATCAGGGAAAATCGCCCCCCCCGCCCCCCCCCCCCCCCCCCACCAAACATATGAAAGGTACAATAAAACTTTCAACACTATTATAACAATAATAGGTTTAACACAGTAAGAGGAAGCAGTTTGGGTAGTAAACACACTGAAAAGAAGCAAAAGGAATTAACTATACCTCAATATTTACCAGATTATTGACAGGCAAGCCAGTAACAGAAAATTGTGTACCATGTCAATGCAATAGCAACTGACAAGAATGAACCCATAGTTTCTTGAACATCACACATGAGAGGTGACTGAGTCCAAAAGATAACACATCTTAATTGTGGGAACCAAGAGAAGACATAACCCTTAAAGCACAAAATAAATGTAACACAAGTATTTTTTAGCAAGTACCCAGTGGTCAAATTCCATGATTTGCAAGTTACTGTATAAGAACATATATTACACACACAAGTGACCATTGAAAAGTATTCCAGGGCCGGCAAATAGAAAGATTTAAAACATAACTGTCCGACTTTCCGTATCAAATCCATATTCTCCATACATTTTTTTTTTAAAGAAAAAAATACATTCTTTGATTGCCTGCTAGGCACACGCACATCGATAATTATTAAAAAAGAACTCATTCCACGATCTTGGTGACCAATGTGTTTTTTTTCTCAGACAGCATAATTGGCAGCCATGGTCCTGACCGATCTGACTGTGGGTCACTAAGGTGATAAAAAACAATTCATAAACATATAAGAATCTAAAACAAGCAAAAAACAACAAGGGACTGACCTGCTTCAGAATGTTTTGTTCTCGAATCAACTTTTGCCTTTCCCTGTCTGGTTTGGAAATGACCAGATCGAGGCAGTCTCCCTGATGGTTGGACAACTCCAAGTGACCCAGGAAATAGATCACATCTGTAATCAACTGAATCACAGACCTGAAAGCATATTATGCAGTCATGGTATACTGTGCTAATTACTATTGAAGTATACAACTAATCAGCATGGTAACAACCAAACTCGACATAATTTAAGACATTTTTTTTCCCAAAGAACATGTCTTACACTCCCAACAACACAATTTAGACCATTCAGGAGGTGGGCTTCAACCTTGCCGGTCAGGAACAACCCATCCTGAGAGGGATACAAAGTCCTGGCAGAAACATGGAGATAGTCAATAAAAATTCTCCCTACATGGAAATTGAACTCAGGAGTTCTGCGTTCACCTAACCATTACACCACAGACACCAGTAAGGCACCAATTACTGAAAAAAAGTAGAAGAATCAGACCATACTAGAGCACCTGTGAAGAAATAGAATGGAGATGAAGGAAAAGTTCTTCATGAGCATACAACTACATGAAATCTACAGAAAAAGAAAAACAGCCACATGAACATAATAATACCTCAGTCTATTCCTTTCTTTTTTATCCTTGAAAATTGTTTCAGCCAAGATCATAGTAAAGAGATGGGCAAACAAATGAGATGTATGAAAAAAATTTATGAAGTTATACAGAACATGCACCCCAGACATTCAGCATTCCAATGCTGCTGACTCCTGATTTTTTATTGAGGAAAAGCAGCTCCATCTCAACAATGACTAAAGAACAAAAAATAGATCTATTTCTTTCAGTGACACAGAGCCCAACACTCTAGATATGGTGCTTCTTCTTTTATCTGTTTGTTACTCCTTTGTAACATCTCTAATCTTCGGCACTTATGTGATCTAATTCTGTTGTTACATGAGCAGCTTGTGTTGTAAGTGTCCGAAAACTTTCAATAAAACAATATATAGTGTTTCAATTGCAGTTGTACTGTATGATGTTATATTGGCCAACTGGTCCAATAGAAGACAAAATCAATTCAATACACTATCTTCTATACCTTCTTTGATTCTGCGTGATGGATGACTTCTCTAGCTTGTTGGCAATCTCTGTGAGCACTTTAGCGGCGTCATTGGCAAAGTCCAGGTCTCTCACCTCTTGGGCAGACACAGGCACAATGGCAAAGGCTTCCTTGTCTTCTTTGATCTTGGCACAGCCCACCTAACATAATGGCACAGAATGTTATTAGAGTTGATGCAAATCAATGGTGCGGTTTATGGTGATTTGGCTCAATAAAGGATCCATTTTACCAGAAAACTGTTCTGTGAAAAGAAAAACACAAATAGAAGTAAATGGAGTAGACCACTCCACGTAACCCCCAATCGCATATCTTGACCAGCTGGTGCACACCAGTCTTATGAGAAGCAACTACGTCCATATACAAGCAATCAGAGAAGACTTAACAAAGGCATGTCAAATGATAATATAATATAATTGAGGAATTTGGGTCCCACGATGAACTCTGTTAGTATCCTGTTGAACAGTAGGTGGAAAACCCTGGTTCAATTCAGTTGAGATATGAAATGACAGAGAGGTACATGTGTGCAAGTACGAGAGTGTGCTTGTGTATGAGTGTTTGTAAACAAGTGAAGGAGCATATGTGTACAAGAATTGCATTGTATGGCACTCCCCTTAAAAAAAAATATTTTGTGATGCCAATCAATAATATGATAGAGCCAAATGGGCAAAAAGTTATGAAGATCAAAGGAAAAATCCATATTAACAATTATCCTGTCAGGAATCTGAACACAAAGAACCCCCTTACCACAGTCCCATGTAATACAAACTGATTTAATGGAGCGATGTGTGTATATGTGTATACATGAATGCAAATGTCCATGTCTCACCTTGTTCATGATAGGCTTGTCCTCATCTTTGTCAAGAGGAATTGAAGTGCTGTGTACCCATGAGTCTGTGCACAGGTGGTGAAGTCGCACATATGTTTGCCTGTCAACACACATAACATACACACTCCTTTCACCATAATTTGACACCACTGAAGTTCCAATTAAAACAATTCATAATATTCATGGGTTTACCTACTACAGCGCATTTATATTTACATGTTACTCATTTATACCTGGTATTCTAAAAACAATATTGCAAAATCTTTGTGAAGAGAAATAAGGTGTCGGACATGCAAGAAGGCCAGTGACTATTTGTTGATCCAAACTACTTCTACTAGAGCTTTTTATTTGATATGGCTGCATCATTCATGTGTGGCAGATGATATGAGTTAAAAGAGGACCATAAAAACAATCATATGTATGGTTCCCTATTGTCAAATACCACTGCATACTGTGCTATACACTACGTTGATACATGTGGGTTCTATATTATAACAATCAAAGCAGTAAAAATAGCACTGTTCGGGCTTAAAGGTAAAAAAAACCAGGAGCTGTAGGATCAATGACAATGACAACAGAGTGACATAGGAAAAACCAAAATCGACAACAATGAGAGTGTCATAGTTAATCAACTCTACTTACCCCCCCGGGCAGTGCCACTGACTGAAGTGTCTTTAGTCCACTCCCAAGGGGGGGGGACATTTCTCGTTCTAATAGACAGTAGAATTGTAAATGGGCTGATCCAACAAAGTCATACTCATACCTGTGCCTGAACTACAACAGAGAACTGCTGCTTTTTTCTTTCCTAATCCTTACTATCGTCATTTTCCTCTACTTCTTTTGTACGTTTGTCACACTCTTGTGACCCGCTATTTCCGGGGTGCCTTGATAGCCGGAGCAGACTTTGTGCTGTTGAAGCTAGAGAGGTGAGCAGAGTAAGTCTGATTCCCTGTAAGGACTTCCCTGTTGACATCCCCTCTTTGGCGCTCATATGACCTTGTGCAGTTGCGAGCGCCTTAAAACCTCTACTAAAACTTTAAAAAACAACTCTATTTACCTCGGCACCAGAGAGTCTCCTCGTATCATCGTAGTTGGGTCCAGCTCGAAAATGGAAGCGATGTCATGTCCATGTGGTACAGAGACAAGACAATACACTGGCAGGTTTGGCTGCCCACGCAGTTTGCTCCGAGTGGCGTCAGGCAAGGGGTCATTGTCCACCTGAGGAATGTCATCAACACAAAGTTCATAAAGAAATTAAAGTCTATAGCAGCACTTGAACAGAGTACAAACTCAATATGAAATATCCAGGTACGTTCTAACAGAAAAGTTTACCCCCAAGATATATTACATCTTTGGACAATTTTATAATAACATCATGGGTGCCAGCGAAAAAATTTTCCAGCCCTGAAATTTTAAAAAAATATGAAAACTCTTCCTACCTTGCCGTCTGAATGTTGCTCGTTGAACCATTTAGTTGCCTTAAGGCAGTTATGTTGGTGGTCTTAGTTTTTATTTAAGGGTCTTGGAGATTTTTATTTTTTTTAAATAGTAGAGGGTTTATGGCACTCGCAACTGCATAGGGTCATATGAGCGCCAAGGGGTGGGTGTCAACAGAGAAGTCTTTACAGGGAATCAGACTTACTCTGCTCACCTCTCTAGCTACAAAAGCACAAGGTCTGTTTCTACCATCAAGGCACCCCGGAAATAGCAGGTCACAGAGTGACAAACATACAAAAGTAGAGGAAAATGACAATAGTAAGGATTAAGAAAGAAAAAGCAGCAGTTCCCAGTTGTAGATCAGGCACAGTTATGAGCGTGACATGAATCAGCCCATTTACATTTCTACTGTGCTTGAACGAGAAATGTCCCCCCTTTGGGAATGGCCTAAAGACACTACAGTCAGTGGCACTGCCCCGGGGGGAGTCTTGGAGATTGCCTGACTAAGGCAAAAGCATGCACCGGGTTGTTCGACTTTCCTACACCACACAGATACTTTGACATCGTCGAAAATTTCATCAAACCATTGCCAACGCCACTTATTTTTTACACTTTTCTCCAACTCCTCCGTAGAAGCAGGTCTATCTAGAAAATTCATCTTCAAAAATCAAACAGAGCTTGCACAGATCTAGAAATCTATTAAAATTTATCGAGATTGACGGCCGAGTAGGCTAGCTTACGACACGACCACTCGCTGGCTTAGCTTTTGTCTCACTGACACTGATCCCGGTTTTCGCGCGAACAGATCTAACTACTCATGAAAAAAATCGAAGATCCGATTCCTGGAAATTGTTCACCCTTATTTGAGCCATGTAATTTATTTATCCTTTCGATCCCGTCATCGGCGTTTCTGGTGATCAGACAGAGACGAAATGAAATGTCGCACCCGGAACTTGCATGCATATCGCGATATCAGTTACAAAAAGTCCATTACGCTTGGCTGGACTCGATCGTTACCGGCAAATTTTTTTTTTCTGGCGATTAATTCTTTTTTCTTTTTAAAGACCCGATGCAACCCGGAAAGTGATGCTGTGAAATTTTGTCAGCCCGGAATTGCCCGGAGGTCTGGCACCCATGAATAACATACACCTTTGATCTTGATGAGAAAATGGCAACGCCCTTTATTGATTGTTCTTTTTTTAATCCATGGTACTAAAATCTGTTGAAAATAAAAAATATTCCCCCCCCCCCCAAGAAAAGAAACAAAAAAAATCCACTAAAAAACAGCCAAACATACTATCAACATACTATTGGTTTTAAAGAATTACACTTGTTCACTCAATCGAGGAAACTATTTTTTAAGAAGAGGTTTGTCTGAGGTATTAATACAATTTTCACCGACATTTTAAAGGAAGCCTTTATCTATTAGAACAAAGAGTTTTGCAGCCAGACAGTGGGCACTTACCTCAGCAGCCAGGTATTGTCCAGTGGCTAGGTGTTTGAAACGAAACAAACTGTTCCAGTGTCCGGCACCGCCCCTACACGGGTCATGCTGCACCACCTGGGCAAGGAGAGAGTCAGATATTTCTGCAGTTAGGTTGGGAGGAGAGGGAGAGAGAGGGAAAGAGAGGGTGAGAGAGAGGGAAAGAGAGTGTAGGACAGAGAGAGAGGGGAGAGAAAGACAGAGAGAAAGTCAGACATTTCTAGTTAGGTTGGGGAGACAGGTAGAGAGAGGGAAGGGGGGGGGGGGGGAGAGATGGAGGGAGGGAGGGAGGGAGGGAGAGACAGACAGACAGACAGACAGACAGACAGACAGACAGACAGACAGACAGACAGACAGAAGAACGCACACACATACACACACACAGAAGGAGAGATAAGCAAGTAGAGAGAAAATTAAACAATTAAATAATTGCTCAGCTATGTTGATCTCAGAGCTGAGGTCACAGCAGCCAGCATCATCAGCCAACCATGCCCCTGAAACCCATGTCCATCGCCCAAAACCTAATTCCCACATCCATCGCCCGAAACCCAACTCCCACATTCAAAAGCTATCCCTCACCTCCACCTCCCACAGAGCTTTCGAGCTGGTGGCAGCTGTAGCAGAAGTCCTGCCTGTGGTCCTCAGGAACACATACTGCTGTTTCTTGTACTCGTCACCTGTGAGGAACTTCTCCTGTTCTGCGTGGAAGAGCCGTACCACATCACCCTGAGAAAACACACATACAATGACTGTTAGTTTGTTTGAGTGAGTTTCGTTTTAGTAAAAAAAAATTTTTTTTGTTTTAGTACAGGTTTTACGGCGCTCGCAAATGCATACGGTCATATGAGCGCAGAAGATTAGAGGTATTACAACAGAGTAACAGACATAAAAAAGAAGAAGGGGAGATAAGGACGAAAGATGTCTCATAGGAAAGAAGAAGCAACCCCATCAGAGCACCCGCCAACCACCCACCCACATTAAAAGTTTTACGGCACTTGCAACACAATATGGTCATATGTGAGGCAGCGTGGTGGAATCAGGCTCTCGTCAAAATAATCAAAGTGAAGAAACGCACATTTTTCCACAAGTTTGTGAATTTTTATCAAATTATTGTTTTTTGGCCAAACACCTTTCATGCCCATTAAATCTCTCATTTCTGTGTGGATTTTTCTGAAAAACCTTAATTAAAGGGGCACAAAACGTAAATTTTCAGTTACCATGGACTATTAAACTAAGGAAATAACTAATCTTTGGCGGCTATTTTCTCACTAATTTTACCTCTGAAAACAGGTGACCCCCACCTCCTTCTTTCGCAAATATCTCGACTTGTATTTAAGATAAATGGACATTTTTTCCATCCAAATAAAGCCAAGTGAACAAGCTTTAAGACGATACCAATAACTCTACATGCCCGAAAATTGACGAGAGCCTGATTCCATCACGCTGCCTCACATATAAGTGCTGAAGATTAGAGGTGTTAGAAGAGAGTAGCAAACACAAAAAAGAAGGATGGGAGATAGAGACGATAGATTTTTTATAGGAAAGAAGGAGCAAACCACACCAGAGCACCCGCCAACCACCTACTGTTTGAGTAATGAGAAGCACATAGATACAAATATGAGAAAACAGACATACAATGAGATGGGGTTGGGGGGAGGTGGACTGTGAGAGAGAACAAGAGACAGAGAGTGAGAGAAAGAGAAAGAGAGAGAGAGAGAGAGAGAGAGAGAGAGAGAGAGAGAGAGAGAGAGAGAGAGAGAGAGAGAGAGAGAGAGAGACAGACAGAGAGACAGAGAGAGACAGAGAGAGAGAGTGGGGGGGGGGAGCTTTTTTTGTTTGAGTAAAGGAGCACATCAACACAATAAGGGTTATTTAGTGCTGGGGTACAGTAAAACAGACAACAGAGGGAAAGTAAAGAAGTAGGACCTACCAGTGGCGCCCTCCAACCACCTCCACAGTTGGAAGCAAGGGAAAGAGAAAAAGACAAAAAAAGACAAAAAGAAAGAGAATAAATACACTTTTTATGCTTATGAGTTCACGTCATTATTGTTTTTGAGTCGCTGCAGACAGGGAGTTATCATTTCAACAGTCATGCTGTTCCAGGACACAGATTACAACAATAGTAATGTTGAAAACAGAAAGACTCTAGCACTCAACACTACACACCCCCCACCCTCCAACCAACCACATGTGTCAAAGCTAACAAAACATAGCCTTACCCCCTTGAGCACGTCGTCCTGGTTCTCCTTGAAGTCCATAAAGAGCATGACCTTCCAGCAAGTGTTGCTGCTCACAGAGTTCACCTCCTTACAGCCCGGGTTGTCCACCAGGTCGCAGTTACTGGCATGCAGCGGCTGACCTGCATTCACAGGGTTCAGCACCACTTTGTCACCCACGACAACCTGCAGACATTACAATGGATTTTTAAAACAATTCGCTTTTAGTTTAGTTTAGTTTTAGCATGAGTTTAAATTGCAACACATTAAAGTCTCATAAATGCAGAAGACTAAAGGAGTTGCAAGAGAGCAACAAACACAAAAAAGAAGGAGAAGACAATAGGATGACAGATGCTTGACAATAGAAAAGGAGCAAATTACACCATAGCACCCACCAACCACTCATCAATTCTCTCTGACAATTGAGCTGACAATAACATAGAAATATCTTTGTGTAGAGCAAAGTTACATCTAACAATACTTCACGTACGGAGGAAACTAAGAGAAAAAAGAAGACACAACTTCTGTAATTTTTGTCATATTTGTATGAAAAGGCACACATCGTCATCAAAAGCAAAATCATCTCACTTTCAGTAAAAAGTTCAGCGTTTCAAAAAATTTCTTAACCAATGCATGAAACCAACAATTTTTAAATGAAAACTTATAATCAAAATCAAAATTAAGTCCTGAAATCATGAACTTCGACAAAGACCATGTCAAAACATGTGACCTGATAAGACCAAGTTCACAAAAAGTCAGCACGTCAATATATCATATTTTCGCTTTGTTCGCTTTTTTGAGTAAAGAGATAAACACAAACACACAATTACAGTCATTTAGTGCAGAGAAAAAGCAAGTCAGATGGGCAGAAATAAAACGTCGTCCATCTCACAAAAGGGCGTAAGAGCATTTTTGGCATTTTTCAGGAGAGCGTTTCAAAGTTTTGGACACTTTTTAAATTCTTGCCGTGGCATAACGATATGCTTTTTCGTTTTCATTTTTGGCAAGATATTAGTACAACCACTGATTTATCATTCCCTATAATGATTATAGATATTGCTTCATCAGTTTTTAAGAAATTGTTTAAAATAGCTGATACGCCTGTTTGTGAGAACATAATTATGACCGTAAAGGCACAAGATTGACAATACGCCACATCATTTAGTAATAGAATATAAGAGAAAAGAGATTTTATTCTTGATTATTGAACAGGTTTATCCACTCAATATGCCAAACTGATCTATTTTGGAGATGTGAAAAACAACAAGAAAAAGACAATGAACAGCTGTGGTGCCTCCACGATGTGAAATGTAAAAAACTCAAAGAGTTAAGCCTTCTTACTTGTCTTCAAGGTATTATGCAGAACTTGCACAATACAATGAGTATAAAATTATAAGTACCGCACAAATCCTTTCATTCAGGACTGCGCACCATCCTTAGACAAGCAGAATATTTGTAGAAAGATCAATTCTGAGCATGTGTAATGAATTTGTGTAATACCTTGTAAACGTTTTAGCCTTTAATACTCCGTTTATCAATGAACTATTGCACAAGTGTTGTTAAGAAAGATTAAAATGATCTGGAAAGGCACTTCAAATGCAAAAACACAGTGCAAGCGGTAGCTTGTTACACGTGGTAAAGTTAAAAGAACATTGTGTGTTCCCCCAGTCTGATGAAAAGTGTACTTGGCTATAGGGAGTTTTTTGGGCTGTTCATGGTTCAGTGCAGACAATGGAACGTCTTTGACTTGATTTTTCTGGGACTTAAAGGTCACTGTTTGGTACGATGGGTTTGTAGGAAATAAACGGTTACTAAATAGTCTCTGTTGAGTCTGTTCCATAATATCACTTCAGTTTATGATTTCATCACTTTCTTAATCCCTGCAAACATTCAATATACACAAGTGACAGATAGTTTCTTGAAGTCAATGAAACCCCTATGCGCCAATGGGAGCTACATACTGTGGCTGTTTTGCTCTTGTAAGTTTTATGATAGTCCTCAGTTAAAATTGGTCGGGACAAAAGCATCCCTGCCCTTGACACTGCGGTGCTTTTTGTACTGTGTACTGCACATCGCCTTCGTTTGGTCAATGAGCTGTTTCCAAGAATTTGAGTGAAATCTCTTTGATGTTGTTTGATGCGTTGAATGATAGAATACTGCAGCATTGCTAGCATGATAGAATATTTATTTTGACTAGGGCAACAACCAGCAAAGAGATTCACTTTCTGCATCTTCCTAGTGCAGTTATAGTACTAATGGGTGTGTACACAGCAGTCACGATTTCAGATTCCCACATTTATTTATATCTCCTGCCAAGTGAAGCAGTGGCAGCTTTTATCTGCTAGACTGTTAAAGGTCAGATTATAGCCTGATAGTCTTCTTTGATACAAAAAGGTGCTTTCTTTTGACATTGGAAGGTAGATGAATGTTGAAGACGAAATATTGGAGCTGAAAGCATCTTCTTTAAGTTTTCTGACTTTGGCTTTTCTGTGGATGCGATTGTTCAGCCTTTGTTTTGTCTCCTCTTCAGTTCAGGCTTGAGTGCAAGTCCTTTGAACTCGAAACTGACCTGCAGTAGTGCTGTGAGTCAACAGTGGGGAACCTCGCAATTTGAGCATTAATAAGGGTGGGAAGTTTTTCATCTCTTTCTCTGACAGTTGCTAGGCATCATCATCCTCTTTTTTCTACTTCAATAGTTTCAGCTGATGTTGTCTTACAGATGGCGGTGCTCCATCAACAGTCAAGTAATATGCATTGGTCTTCTGTCCGCAAGAACATTTCGTCCATTTCATAGTTTCAGAGCAGTCAATGTGACCAACAACGAACTCACATTGTAGGTGATGGTCTCCAAGTCTGTAACTGTAATATTGCTGGAACATTTCCTCGTGTGTTTCATTCGCAATAGTGTGACAGCTTCGACCATATTTCTCATAGCTTTCAAATTCATACCTGTCTCAAATCCTGTGCGGGCCAAAACGTGTTGCAGTTATAGGGCTAAGGTACTCCTCTCCACAATGTCCTTTGTGGTTAGCTTCTTTATACTTATTGGACTGTGGACCTTTCTGAACAGTCACTTCCTTGGCAGCACCTTCTACCTTGAAATTTTCAGGTTGAGTACAATATCCAACGACATCAGAGTTATTCTCTTCTGGTTTTATCCGTTTTCTACTCACTATGCTATGTGGTTCTCTTGAAGACTGCCATGCTCACATGAGCCTGTTTCTTCCACAAAGTGATCGCATGTATAGTATAACACAGGAGCAATTCACACCTTCCAGCAAATATGTCCTTCTTGCATGACACGGAAACCAGGTTTGAAAGACGGGTCCGCATCTAAACCATCAATATAATCAGAACTTTCTGCAATACCACATCTTTGGGGACTCATGGACCTAATTAAAACGTTTACTAGTAGAAAATATTTTAAAAAGTGAATGTTTATTTAATAAGCTTACAAATTGAGCTAAGATACAATCACTTTATGGGTGCATGAACTGCAAACGCTGAAAGCAAGGATGAAATTTAAAGCACAGCTACCCAAACAACACGTGTCTACTTGAACTAATGGTAAGGAAGTGTATTACAGTCCCACAATGATGCAGCCAGAAAGAATCAGCAAGACTACTAAACATGACATGAGACACATCCTCCTCATTTACAAGTAAGAAAACTCAAGGAAACATCTCATACCATGGCGTATGCGGTCATATGCCTCAGCATGTATTCTCACAAAGGGGAGTAACAAGGCATACGCCTCTATGTGAGATGCAGTTTCCTGCCCGAGAGCTATAGGGCTAAATGTTTTTTGCTCATAACTCCGCCATTTTAAAAGCTATCGATACGCCGTTTTAAGAGAACATAGATCTCACTATCTGACATACCATGGTGGTGTTAACTCAAAACCGGTAATTTTGACGATACGCCCTTTTGTGAGATGGGCGACGAAAAGAGGGAAAGAAAACAAACATTATCTACCCCTGGTGCCCTCAGAGAATTCTGCAATGACACAGACTGAGACAACAGGAACATTGAAAAGAACTGAAAGAAGACAACCGTAAAAGAACACCTACAAACAACCTGCAGATCTATAAGACAACAAGCAAGGCAAGTGATTTTTGGCTACACACTTTATCTCCCGGGGAGCTGTGTTTGTAGAAAGGCTGTATGTAGAACCAGGACCCCTCATTGCCAGAGCTGTCTAGGATGACCCGCATGGCATTCTTCTCTAGAAGAGCTGGCAGGCGCTTGTTCACCGTAAGGAATTTGTTGCTCTTCACATGCAGAAGCTGAGAAATACAGACACACACATGCATTCAAACAATTTTGTTTATTTTTATTTTTAAATTGTTGTTGGTCTTCTTACATTGTCTGACTTCCTACGGCATCAAAATATGACAATACCAGAAGGGGTCATAAGAAGCCCTGACGTTAACCATTTCTCCACAATTTCCTGAATCAGCTGTCCATTTTGTGTGTATTTTATTTTAAGGATACTTCTCGTTTTATCATACTGAAATGTGGAAACAATTTGTTTCTTTATTTGAGTAAAGAGAAGCATATTGACACAATAACAGTGAGTGTTGGGGTATGTGTGTGTGTGTGCGTGTATGTGTCTGGGTGTGTGTGTGTCTGTGTCTGTATGTGTGTCTGTGTCTGTCTGTCTGTCTGTCTGTCTGTCTGTCTGTCTGTCTGTCTGTCTGTCTGTCTGTCTGTCTGTCTGTCTGTCTGCCTGTGTGCGTGCGTGTGTGTGTGCAAACACCCTTGGACGCGTGTAAAAGAGAAGTGTGCTTCATCTGTATCACTGACTGTAGTGAACCACAGAGCAACACATCAGTATGCTTGTACGTAAGGTATCAGAACATTTTAAAAGTATAACAGATAAGACAAAAACAACTGAGGGAAAAAAATGAAGTATGACCAACTAGTTGTGCCCTCAATCCACCCAACTAAACAAAGAAGATGACAGAGAACAGTCACAAAAGAAATCAAAGAGGTAGGGGCGTTTTTGAGAAAGAGCATTTCATGTGCAGAATTCATCACAAGCCGGAGTCTTTCATTAAGGACAGAATGCCATATTTATCTTTGAAAAGTAGTTTTGAATTCTTCTTTTGTACGAAAATACAGTGCAGCATATCTGCAAGTTTGTAAAACAAAGGTGTAGAGAGAGAGAGAGAGAGAGAGAGAG